GAACCTAAGCCTAACATACTGCTCTAGGCAGGAGGAGATACAAAAGTGATCCAGTCTTGCCAACAATCTTTTTCAGGTGAAGATTTACAACCAAGAAACAATGAGACATAAAATTAATAGAACAAACCAGTACACAAGGAAGTACCATATTGAATATTATTGTCCAAATACAAGGGGTAATGATGAAATGCTATGGTGCATGAAAATCAATGTTGATCAATTTAAATCTGAATGAGATAACACACCCATTATAATGGCTAAAATAAAAATGAGGCATTAGCAAAAATTGGCAAGGGTGCAGAGCAACTGGAATGCTCACCTACTGCAGGTAGAAATGTAAAATGGTACAACCCCTTGGAGGACTGTTGGGCAGTTTCTTTTTAGAGTTACAGACATCTACCACATGACCTAATAATTCCATTCTTAGATATTTACCCAAAGGAAATGAAGACATATGGGGGGGCCAGCCCATGGCTCACTTGGGAGAGTGTGGTGTTGGCAACACCAAGGCTGCGGGTTCAGATCCCATATAGGGATGGCCGGTTCACTTTCTTTGGAGAGTGTGGTGCTGACAACACCAAGTCAAGGGTTAAGATCCCCTTACCGGTCATCTTTAAAAAAAAATAAAATAAAAAAAAATAAAAGTATATGATGAACCTAAGCCTAACATACTGCTCTAGGCAGGAGGAGATACGGATCCTATATAGGGATGGCCGGTTTGCTCACTGGCTGAGCGTGGTGCTGACAACACCAGGCCAAGGGTTGAGATCCCCTTACCGGTCATCCTATAAAAAAATAAAAAATAAAAAAAATAAAATAAAATAAAATAAAAAAAAAAAAAGGAAATGACATATATCCACAAAAAGACTTGTATAACAATGTTCATAGGTATCTTATTCACAATAGCCAGAAACTGAAAACAACCCAAATGTCCATCAACAGGACAATGGATAAAGAAATTGTGATAGTCATCCAATGGAATACTATCCAGTAGTAAGAAGGAACAAACTATAGATATATACAATGATAAATATTATGCTGAGTGTAAGAAGTCAGACACAACAATTATATATAGATGTTCCTTGACTTAGCGATGGCATTAACATCAGATAAACCAATTGTTAAGTTTAAAATATTGTAAGCTGAAAATACAGTTAATGCATCTAAGCTACTAAACATCACAGCTTAGCCTAGCCTAACTTAAATGTGCTCAGAACACTTACGTTAGCCTACAGTTGGGCAAAATCATCTAACACAAAGCCTATTTTATAAAAAAGTGAATATCTTAGGTAACATTAAAAACTGTGCTGAACATGAAAAACGGAGTGGTGTATGGGTACTAGAAGTACAGTTTCTACTGAATGCTTACTGCTTTTGTACCACCATAAGGTCAAAAAATCTTAAGTCAATCATTCTAAGTCGGGACTGTCTGTATTGTATAATTCCATTTATGTAAAATTGGTTAGAGTGCAGCCTTGTAACAGCAAGGTCAAGGGTTTGGATCCCCATACCAGCCAACCACCAAAAATAAGTACATAAATAATAAAGTTCTAAAACAAACAAAACTAACCTATCGAACTTTTTGGAGGTAAGAGTGAAAATGTTTTAGATCTTGTAGTTACATGGGTGTATACTGTTACAAACTCATCAACATGAACCCTGAAGAATTATACATTTTATTGCATATTAAAAATTTTTTTGAATGAGAAAACAGGTTAAGATAGTAAATAAAGACAGTTGCCAAAGTAATCTGCAATGAGGAAATCAATGCAGGATCTGGAGTTAGGGAGTAATATGATGAAAAAGAAGCTTAACAAAGACTTGCACACTGTGGTTTTGTACACCATGTCTTGGTTTAGACTACACTTTAGAGAAGGTATGGGAGTAGGAAAATCTAGTTGGAGCTATCACAGGAAAATAAATATATAAGTTAATGAGACCCTAGAGCAGAATGAGGGTGTTGGGAATGGGGAGAAAAACTAAATAAAGTACAAAGAGGTTTCAAATGAAAAGTCAGGCCCTATAAAAGAGCACTGACTCTAAAGAATTGCATTCCAGATACCTGGTAGATAGATGGGATCAACATATGAGATGGCTATTGGAAAGATGGATTATGATAGAAGATAATACATTCAATTTTAGAACAACAGAGATGAGGAGACAAGAGAAGATATAAATCAGGAAGGATTTAATTCTAAAGGATTACAGAACGATATGGAAGAAGTCAGCTACACAAAGACAAGAGCTGAAAATTAATAATACACCAAGGAACCCTAATAAAACCTATCATTTATACAGTAACTAACAACTAATTGCTTTCATATGTATTTAATATAAAGAAAAGCAGCAAACAAAAAAAGAAAGAGACGCAGGACAGAGAGACCTGTTTGAAGGCAGAAAGGAAAGTGCGGCAGGAAGGAGACTGGCTATTTTAGAGCAGTACTAAATAAAAATGGATATAAAGAGGGCCGGCCCGGTGGCGCACTGGATAAGTGCGCAGCTTGGGAAGCGCGGCGGCGCTCCCGCCCGAGGGTTCGGATCCCACATACAGACCGGTTCCCGCTCACTGGCTGAGCGAGGCGCGGGAGCAGCACCAAGGGTTGCGATCCCGTTGCCGGTCCCCGGTCTGGTGCGGGGGCAACACTGAGGGTTGCAATCCATTGCCGGACACGGAAAAAGACAAAAGACAAAAAAAAAAAAAAAAAAAAAAAAAAAGGAAAAAAAAAAAAAAAAGAAAACCACAACCTTGCTT